ATTTTGTTAAATTTAGGCCTATTTAATCGTTTTGAGGGCGTTGCCGGTGACGGGGACCAGATTGCGGCACAGTTTTGGAAATGTCGAGACCAGACCTACCGATAGGGCGAATAAAAATTTTTAGTCGGTCGGTCCCCTTTTTCGAAGATTGAGTGGGTTTGTTGAATTTAGGCCTATTTAATCGTTTTGAGGGTGTTGCCGGTGACGGGGACCCGATTGCGGCACAGTTTTGGAAATGACTCGACCAGACCTACCGATAGGGTGAATAAAAATTTTCAGTCGGTCGGTCCCCTTTTTTGAAGATTGAGTGGATTTTGTTGAATTTAGGCCTATTTTATCGTTTTGAGGATGTTGCCGGTGACGGAGACCCCATTGTGGCATAGTTTCGGAAATGTCTCGACCAGACCTACCGATAGGGTGAATAAAAATTTTCAGTCGGTCGGTCCCCTTTTTTGAAGATTGAGTGGATTTTGTTGAATTTAGGCCTTTTTTTTATCGTTTTGAGGATGTTGCCGGTGACGGAGACCCATTGTGGCATAGTTTCGGAAATGTCTCGACCAGACCTACCGATGGGGCGAATAAAAATTTTTAGTCGGTCGGTCCCCTTTTTTGAAGATTGAGTGGATTTTGTTAAATTTAGGCCTATTTTATCGTTTTTGAGGATGTTGCCGGTGACAAGAACCCGATTGCGGCACAGTTTCGGAAATGTCTCGACCAGACCTACCGATGGGGCGAATAAAAATTTCTAGTCGGTCGGTCCCCTTTTTTGAAGATTGAGTGGATTTTGTTAAATTTAGGCCTATTTTATCGTTTTTGAGGATGTTGCCGGTGACGAGGACCCGATTTCGGCACAGTTTCGGAAATGTCTCGACCAGACCTACCGATGCACAGTGGGCTAAAACAACCTTTTAGGCGCTCAAAACCTGTATTTCAGCCATTTTTGATCGTATATGTCCCAAATTTGGTACAGACCCTCTTTTGGTCTTACTTTATGAGATTTTGAACAAGCGGCGGCAATTATGACCTTATCTCAGCCGTGGTTCACCGAAAATTGATATAATATAATCGTATTTTTATGTTGTATATTTCTGAGTCTGCGGGAGCACTCTCTCTTTCTATTAGATCGATGCAAAACATATTGTAGGTTTTTTTAATGTTAATTTCAGACGGAACAATTGAAAACCGCTTAAAGGAGTCAAAAACATCATTAACATTATATGTGCGTTCCTAAAAACAATACTGTAAAAAATCATGGTTACAGATTTTATAACAACTGTCAAACTTCAATTTCCTAAAATCAATTTTTAAATGGTATATCATTTAACTCTTCATGGAACAATAACATGGCAGGCTCATTTGCCTGGCCATCAAAGGGGCAACTATAAGTGAAAGAACTGTGGCACACAGTTTTTAAGACTTGGCTTTAGGTTTTATTTTCTGAAAGAGCTGATAACAGGATCAGATAAAACAAATGGCAGTCAGAAGATCTGCATTCCCATCAATTCTGTTGCACTTCCGGGTGGCCTTTTCTGGAGGGTTAGTTGTAGAGAAAGGGCGTGGGGCTAGGGAAAAGGAGCCAAATAGCACGTGAAAAGATAAGGGACGGTTGGGATGGAGACATGGATGCTTGGCTTCTTTCTTCGTTGGGACGCATTTTCTACCGAAAACGGGTAAATTGCCAATTTTATAATGTTTCACAGCCGCGTATTACTGTTTGCGCAAATATGCGCAGGTTTTCTCTGTTGATCCTTTCAATTGACACATAGGTTGATAATTTCCAGCGGTGGAACGTGCTTAATAGTGCGTAATTCCATAGTAGATCTCAAACTTTTGTTTTTAAAGTAAAAATTATACAAACAAAGCGATTATATGCACACCAACACCCTTCAAATTATCGCAGGAAGATAACTTGGGTATCATTTTGAACGGGAATACTTGGTCTTTAAAATGGAACCACCGGAGGTTCAAAATCTAGATGGAAAGCCGTCAAAATCGCTGTGGCGTTTTCTTGCATTTTTTACTAAAAATAACACATTATCACAAGTATTAACTTTGAAGGCCTGTAGTGGTCGTAGTTTTGGTCTGACAACAAAAATAAGACCAGATTTGAAATCTGCAGAAAATTTCCTATCCGATAGTGAAAACGTTTGCCTGTTTAAACGATTTTTAAGAAACAGGTTTTGAGCGCCTAAAAGGGTGTTTTAGCCCACTGTGCGATGGGGCGAATAAAAATTTCTAGTCGGTCGGTCCCCTTTTTTGAAGATTGAGTAGGTTTGCTCGGAAACGGTGAGAAATTTGTTCCCCTTTTTTGTAGATAAAGTAGGTTTTCTCGGAAACGGTGAGGAATTTCAACTTTGGGATTTTTCCCAATTTTCCCATAAAATTTGGAATCGAATGGAAAAAACCGCAAGTCTCTACGACCACTCCTTCACCCCAAACATTTCTATGAGTGAGTGAGTCAGTGAGTCAGTGAGTGAGTCAGTCGGATTGGGGCTTTATAGGTTCTTGATTTGACCCTGGAACGACTTTTAAGCCACAGCAAGCCCGAGTCAGCCGTTAAAGCTGATTTTCACACTTTGTAACTTCCGTGATAACGTAATTTCCGTGATCAAAACACCCACTAAAACGTATGGGAATACCTTATGGCTCATGTTTTTAGGAAGATAGTACAAGGTCTTTACTATAAATACCATTGCCATAACTCTAGTATCATCCAGGACCCCAATAATCAGAAAAACTTAATTGGATATTTCTCACTTTCGGCAAATCAGAGACGCCAAAACTACCCCGAAACGTGAGAATCGCTCTACACTCACTAGAGGGCTGTGAACCTCATCCCTTCGGTTTTGTTCACGTAAAACACCAGGAGGCACGCTCAGCTGAAACAAGAAAGATGCAATGTAGAAATCATTTTCAAGACCAAAAGAAAACCTAACCTCTCTACCAAAGACTCAAGCACGCGACTGGCGCGGTTTCTTGGAACGACACATTTTCCCTTTCATCCCTCAGACAGACGAATGATTTCGGCACAACACTAGTTCGTTTCACATAGTCAATGATAAATCTTTGAAAGAAAACAACGAAAATCGCTGCAACGCGTAAACAAGCCTTCGTCGGCCATGACAGACTCCGGCCTGGCCGTGACGTCATCACACCTCCCCCACCTCCTCCCTGCCCGGCGCGTCGATTTGAAAGTTAACCGCCACACTAACCAGGTTCAAAATTCTCACTGAAAAACAAACCCTTAACGTTCCGTCGCAAATGCGAGCGGCCGTGCGTTCGCCCGGCGCGTGCAAACAAATGCAACACGCACAAATGCCAGAGATTTCGCGACCCACGCCACCAGAGGGAAGGACAACTTTACTCAGTTTTGAGTATTTCTAACACAATTTTTCGGAGTTTCACACTGCAGCACCCTCGCGAAGCGCCCCAAACATGATTCGAACCGAGAACACCGAATTTACCCTCAGAAAGCGGCACAAACACTGAGACTGCCCGGCTCCCACGCACACGTCAACGTCAACTGGCCGTAATTCGACACTTTTTGACCCAAATTTCACGAATTTCACACGCGAGCACTCTCGCGAAGCGTCTCGCACAAGATTCGAAACGAGAGAACACGCAAACAAGCCGAACAGGCAGATGCAACCCGGTGCACCCCGCGACCGCATGGCGCAGGGGGACGCCGACCCCAGATTTCATGATTTTAACGCTACTGACACGAAAAGGATTTTCTGACACGAGCACACACTGTAAAAAATTATTGTGAATTTACGAAAATTTTTTTTACAAATTCTCTGTAAAGTAACAATAACATTTCGTTATTTTATGAAATTTATTCGTAGAGGCCGTTATATGAATTATTCATCACAGAAATATTCTTAATTTTATGAAATTTGTTCATGAACACCGTCTTATGAAATGGTACGAACAAAATACATCTCAAACGTGACTAAAATACTACAACAATGTCACCAAAACATAAAAAGTTTCCTAAAATTACAACAAATGCTTAGGTTATTCCGTTGCACAAATCGCTTGTAAGATTACGAGATATGGTGATGCCTTCATCATTTTACAAGATGTTTCATAAAACAAAACAAAAACGCTGAAATAAGTTAATCTCCATTTAATCAGCGTGACAAGGTAGAACAAAAGCGGTCCACGTAATTTGGAGCGGGTAAAAAGTTTGTAGTTTTACTAATTACTGCGTGAAGAATAATTCATAAATCGTTAAGAAACAAAAAGACGTTGTAAATTTACAGATAATTTGAGCAACGAAATTACCCATAAATTGTTTGTAAATTTACGAACTTATTTTTTACAGTGCAGTGAGCACTACATAAACGCGGAAAACACTCAGAAGCATTGAGAATGGGACATGACGCAATCACACCACGAGGCGTGCTGACGCAGCGAAACACACACACACACACTCTCTCTCCCTCTCACACACACAACATTTCACTTACCTCTCTAAACAGGTTGCCCGAAATGTTTAAATCGAGCGTTTCGTCTCCAGATGACTCAATTTCGCCTTCCTCCAAAGGCTCGTAATCAAGCTGTTCCTCGCTGAACGACATGATGACGCTACTTCTAGGACGGCTTATGACACGACCGGACAAGGGCGGAAGGACGCAGGAAAGGGTAGTACCGCTTGCGGCCAGCAGAGGGCGCAGCGGTCGTTCTAACGGCCGGCCAAATTCAATTAGTTTCTGATTTTGCGACGATCGTAAATAAAATGTAGGACACGTCCAAATCTCTCAAATATTATTTCTCCTCACTACACATAGTCTAGAAGCGCAGACAACAGGTGTCATGCAAATTCAGAATACACTAGGGGGGGAGAGGAGAGGGGGCGATGGGGGATGGGGCGCTGGACCACTGGCTTCTCTCAGACAGTTTTCCCACGGACAAGACAAGGGGACATCCGTGGTCTACGCTTCCTAGCGTGGACGATGTCAGCCTCCCAAGAATTAAAAGTGAAACGCAAGGAGTCTGAGTCCAGACAGGTTCGTTTATTTCTGTAACATCAGACAGGGCACGGCATTGGCACACTGTTTAAATGGGCCTCCACAGGCTCAGGGTGAGGCAGTACTTGGCCGACTTGAGGGCCGGTCCCTGGGGGATGCCGGCGTCGACGAGGCACTCCACGATGGGCTCGACGCGGTACTCCCTCCTGGCGCCCTGCTCCTTGATGGGCGTGATGCCCGCACTGACGCGGCAGGCGTCGCTGGGCCCGGCGGGCAGGCGCTGCAGGCACGTGGCGATGCGGCCGTCCAGGTCGGCGATCTGCTCGTCGGTGTAGAGGCTCTGGAAGCGGACCGTTGGGGGCGTCGATCAATGCAGTGCGCCACACTCTCAGACTCACTGAAGAACCAAACGTGGTCTACATCGCACCAACTGGTGTGGTCGAATGGGTGCCATTTTGACCACATCAGATGGTGTGGTCTAGACCACGTTTGGTGCGTTTGGTGTGGTCTAGACCTCATCAAATGTGGCCAAACGTGGTCTAGACCGCATCAAACGTGGCCAAACGTGGTCTAGACCGCATCAAATGTGGCCAAACGTGGTCTAGACCACACCAACTGATGTGGTCAAAATGGCACCCATCTGACCACACCAGTGGTGTGGTCTGGATCACGTTTGGTTGTTCAGTGCTGCTCAGACTTTTCGTACTTTGATAAAGAGTTTTTTACTCAGCAGTAAAAAGTACTATTCCCTCAATATCTGCGGGTCCGAATCTCGTCTTTTCCGACGACGAGATTCGGACACATGGAACGGCTTGAGCGCAGCTAAGTGGATGTCCGAATCGCGTCTTGGGTTCGTCGTAAACGTGTACATTTTTACGATGAGCCCAAGACGAGGGGGTGTGTGTAATACCCTGTACACATAAACCGTGTATTACGGCTAATACACGTAGTTGTAATAATATTTTTGGGCTAAATGAGCCAAATTTTGACATTTTAACACCATAATACTGAGTACTCTGTACACGTTTTCTTGGAGTTAAGCCCCTCGGCCCAAGACCGCAAGCAGACGATCGAATGCGTTTTTTTTTCGTTGCCGCCTCATCATATTTTACTTGCTTGATCGTCGTTTTCAACAAGCTCAAAACGACGAAGCAAAGACCGAATTACGCGAATTAGTTCCTCACAGGCAGACCATTAGGTGCCCTGCCTTCACCCATGTCTAAACAATGCCTGAGGTGCCAAAAGTGCCAAGAATCTGGCCACTTTGGTCGCCTAGAAACTAGGCACCTGAGCATGCTCTACCCAGGGATCCTTAACTTAACTCAACATTTAACTAATACTGCTGTCATAACGTAACATAAGACAATGTTCGATATAGGTTAAGGGTAAGGACTTAAGAAAGTACTTGCAAAAGTATATCCACACAAATTCGAGACATCAAAAAATAACTTACCCTTTTGAAAAGATGTTAGAAGCTAAGGGTAATAACTTTAACTCTTATGATGACGTTATGATGCCCTTATGAGGTAAGTTAAGGATCCCTGGCTCTACTATGCACACTAAATGTTTATGGACTTAATGTCTATAACCAAGGCCGTATTTGTGCATACTGAAGTTATGTTCAAATTTGTACATAAATGAGGTACGATGTTTTAGATACTTAAGCACAATATGGAAATATTGTTCCTAATTTATGTGCAGATTTGTACATAAGGTATGCATGCACTAAAACGGCCATAGCTATGGACAATAAAGTACATAAAACATTAAGTGTGTGGGGGAGGGCCAGTTCCTTAATGATGTGTACCCCCCGAGAAACAGCCGCGTCTTGTTTCGACGCATGTGCCATCGTATCCAAACGAACATGTCAAAATTCACATCCTCACAGAAGTCATGCACACTAAATGTTTTATGTACTTTATTGTCCATAGCTATAGCCGTTTTTGTGCAAACAGAACTTGTGTACAAATTTGTACTTACATTAGGAACAATATTTCCATATTGTGCTTAAGTATGTAAAACATTGTACCTAATTTATGTACAAATTTGTACATAACTTCAGTATGCACAAATACGGCCATAGTTATGAACATAAAGTCCATAAACATTTAGTGTGTGTCGGATGAATGACTCAAGAGTTCTGAAGTGGCACTCGAGTTACGATGGGGCTCCTTGCGTCCGCATCTGCGTCACAGCACTCACCGTCGCCACCTAGAACATAATGCAAGCCGAAATTGTGTGCATCCACTCAACATGCAATACAGTACACCTTGGACAGTCTCGAAGGCCTTACGTTTATTCTAACGACACACAACCACTTCATCTACGAACAAGTACCTCGAAAAGGCTACCACTTCTTCAAAAAAGGATTCGTCACGCTATGAACAATCATGTTAGGTGAAGACCCATGGTTTTGCATAAAATTGCACTCAAATTTGTATAAAATTTTCACAGTAAAAATTAATGTCCGGAATAAACGACGGATCCTTCGGCAAAAAAATTGCCAACCGTTCCTTCGTTAATTTACGAAGCTCTTCGTATATTCACAAACACCTTCGTTAATTTTTTGAACGATCTCTGTCAAGTTTACAATCACAATGGAAATTTACGAAGCACCTTCGTATATCTACAAAGATCCTTCGTAAATTTACAGGGACCCTTCGTTAATAAACAAAGAACCTTCGTTAATATACAGAGAACCTTCGTAATTTTACGTCTGGAATTAACAACGGATCCTTCGGCAAAAAAATTTCCAACAGTTCCTTCGTTTATTTACGAAGGTCCGCCGTAGATTTACGAAGACCCGTCGTAGATTAACGAAGCCCGTCGTAAATTTACGAAGCCCTTCGTAAATTTACAACAGATTCTGTACATTTACGATTTTTCTTCGTAAATTTTCTAAGAACCTTCGTAAATTAACGACGAACTTCCGTTGATTTACAAAAGTTCCTGTAGGAAAGAAACATTTACAGTGCACTTTTGGACATTCCCAAAAACCTTCGTAAAATACTCCGTTGTAAATTCACAACATTATTTTTACAGTGTTGCATAGTTTCCCATAGCAATAAGAAAATTCCATGCTTGCAGAAAATCATGCAATTTCCCAGAGCCGAATTCTCCATGAACATATTGCGTGTGAAAAGGAAGGGTCTTAACGAAATGTCACAAAAAACTTAAGAGGGTCTCTTAGGATTTAATGACGGTATGGAGCAAGATTTTAAGGGCTTCTTGTGGGCTTTCGCGAGATTCTTCTGGATATTAAAAGGGCATCAGGAAATTTTTAGCTGAACTCGACTGAGATCCAAGCAGACCCAAGACAATCCTAACTGTTAGTGTCAATTCAGAACTATCCTAACTGCACGTGACGTAATGAGCGGTCTTTTCTCAAAGTCCGTGAAGCCAACAAACTTTATAAAATTTTTCACCGAAGAGCTTGTTACAAAGTTTTGTCCTTATATAAATACGTGGACATTGTTTTTCAGCGATATCGAGATTCACTGATTTGCAGTGAAGATAGTTCATGAACATTTTTTCATGATACTTTTTTTTGCAGTTCCAGAATTCTTCAGGAAAGATAACTCTTAACTTACAGCAGCTGCGAACAGCGCGAAGCAGAGGATGATGACGGTCTTGCAGGTCATGGCTATAGAGGTCTGGACGAAAAGTCGATGGTGTCTCCGAGTTAAGGGGGCACACCAGTGAAAATGCAGAGGCTTCGTAAAAACGTTATTCTGAGTAAAGTAACGAAGGTAATGGGTTGAAATTTTATTCTGAAGCATAAAATATGTCAATTTAACCAAAAAAGTACACGGCAGCAAGGGGGGGCGACGGGAAGGGGGGTGGGCGCCATTTTCATTTTTCGGTGACACGGCTCCACTTTGCCCAACTTTGTGAAGCCCTCGATTGAGCCTGAAACATGGGGTTTCAAAATTTCTCATCAGGACACATGTGGCTATCGTGTGAACCACGGACATGTCGGAAAAACAATCCTAAATATGTTTTTTTGAGAAGCAAAAAACGAAACTCATTTTTTGACCATATTTTTCACGTTTCCGTGTTTGTGGCTCAGGCCCTGTACATGCTACGACCATATCCGAGGTTCACACGATAGCGACAAGTTTAAGAAACATTTTGCCGCAAACCACACTCAATTATCTCAATTTTGCGCCCGCAATCGTGGGCACCAGGTCCAAAAATGGCGTTTCGAGAAAACGACGTTTGAAGTGAAACTACGGTATACTCGCATTATTCCTCATTACGGACGCAATTATTGACATTTTTGAGTTCGGTTTGCGCCAAAATATTCCTTTCTCCAACTGCGTTTCGATGGTTCCAGGGTTTTGGCATTGGACTTCAAGTGAAACACCTGAACGTTGACAATTGAGGTAAAATATGCAAAAAAAGTTACCCTTTTAGGAACTTCAAAAATGTGCCCAAGCCAAAGTAATTGGAATTTTGAGGTTGGGTTTGCGGCGTTCGACTCGGGATAATAGCAGAAAAATATGATAAAATAAAAAGGAGGCCAAAATTTGACGATTTTCACTGGTGTGCCCCTTAACCGGCGCTTTTATACTACATACAATCGTCTATTATCTGCTGTCTCACTGCTGCAGGGAATGCCAGTGGCGACGTTGCTTTTCCCGGAACTCTGTCTCATTCCTCCCAGTGAATGTTGACAGCAGCTGGCATTTCTTGCTAATTGCTCCGTCATTGTCGCTCACTGCATTGTCATGTTTTTTTTGAAAATTTCCAAACTTTTCGGTGCACATTGTTGGCTGAGCGATAACGAAGCCCGTTACTAGGGTCACTGGTGTAAATCATCTCAGAAATTGTCTGATACTTTCGCACATCAGAACATTTCTGATGTCTGTCCTAATACTTTTTCGGACACCTATTTCTGATAATTAAGAAACACTCTGATGCCTCAATTTTCTGATTACTTTAGGCCTGATAACATCGGCTGGACTGGAGATATTTATCACACTCTCAGCACGTTATTGACGTTTTGCTCATTTTGTCAGTACTTATGCAAATAATTTGTGCAACCATAACACGTACTTTTCCTTTTTTAAAGAACTACTTAGGAAATATTAAATAGTATACTGAGAATGTTGTTTTGTACGTAACTTTACAAAGGAAATTATTCTACTTAGAAAATACTAAGTATTATTGCTGTTGATACGAATATGTAATTGACGAGGAAAAGTCAGTAACGTGCTGAGAGTGCAGAACAATTGTTTGTTTTTTTTCTGGAAATATATGTTGATCTACATGAGACTAGGAAACGGGGAAAACGTCTCGTGGGGGTTGACACCGAGTCCGATCCAAATCTGCAGTCCAAATTGAGCTCGTCATCAACTCTCAAAAAGACAGTACCGGTATGTGATCCGATTTCATAGAGGTGAAAAAGTGGCCTAGCCAAATCTTGCAAACAAGACTCACCAAATCTGAAACTGTAATAACGTTAACTTTCTATTGTACAGCGATCTCACACTGTCGTAAATTAGCGACAAAAAAATCGCTAATTTTCATAGCGACGGAAATCGTTCCTAAACTACTTCGTCGTAACTGAACGACTAAAAAATCATTTCTCTACGACAATGTCGTAATCACGATTACATATTTTGACACCTGAAATCCCCGAAAAGGAGGTGAAAAGTTACAATTTTGCTCACTTATTTACGATTTGTGTCGTTCATTTACGATTTATAACACAAATTTACGACAAAAGTCGTAAATGTACGACTAAAGTCATAACTGCACGACATATTCGAAAGATAATTTACGATTGTTCGTAAACTTACGATTAAGTCGCTATCAAAAATATCGACAAATATGTCGTACAGTTACGACTCAAGTCGTATATTTACGACTTGAGTCGTAACAAAATATGTCGTTTAAAAACGACATAATTGTTCTACAAAATGTCGTAAATTTACGATTATTTTTAACAGTGCATTTTTATGCAGCCTGATAGCATCCCCAGGATTAAGTCGGCGCGAAATTCGATTCGCGTGGCCCCTTGTGCATGTTGAAAATTTTCTATAGCTTTTTAAGGTTTCTGTAAAGTGAAAAAATATGAAATTTCATTTTTCAAAATAATTGTGGCATCATGTTTGTATTTAGGTTTCAGGTTGCTCACTGTAAGATGAACTTTAACCCAAAGTTGAGGCACTCAACTCCCATTAGTTTCTGAGTTATTGAAGTTTACGTAACAAATTTAGTCGTTTACTAAAAATTCTCCTTGCGATGAACCATAAGTTGTCGAGACTTGATTTTTGTTTTACAAGTTCTTTATTGATTTGCCTATCTCGTAGCAAAGCCGGATTTCCAAAATTCGAACATGAAACAGGAATTTTTGTCAAAAAACAAAACAAGAAGGAAAGATATCAAAGAATTGATATCACATGGGAGGGACTCGTTCTTTACAAAGCTAGATTGATGTGTCAGTCGCTGATCGTTACATGAATTGTCCTCTGACGATTTGTAATTTTGCCTTTTAACGAACGCTTCCGGTTGGTTCTCTTCTCAGGCAGGGAACATCGATGCATCGCGATATCTCGAGATATCGATTCTCGTCCATAATCGAATTTACACTAGAGTTCGTGCCAAAAACCTGCTTTTTCCATGACCAAATCCCTCAGAAGGACATATTTATTTTAGAAAACAGTCAAATGAAACTTATTATTTCATCTCTCATCTCGAACATAAGACGTGCAACACCATCAAAAAGAAATTCATTAAGATGACACAGCTTGCAGTTCTGAGACATGTATCATGGTAAGGGTCAAACAATGTTTCGTTAATACCAAATTTCTCAAAATTATCCATTACCACTTGCAAAAAACCCTCCTAGATTTTTGTTGACCAAAGATCTCGTGTCATTGTTGTTGTACTTTGCGTTTCAGTGGCGTTCAACATCAAAAGATACAGACACGTGAAAAGAGGTTAGTTTCACATAGTGCACTAAAAACGTCTCTCTTTCATGTTCATTTTCTCAATATTTCTCATTGCAAGTAAAAAAAAAACTTCTTTTACGATCAAGCGACTGACACTCCATCTTTCATTTGATAAGGGAATGTGGGGCGATTTGTAACAGATTTCGGAATTCTCTATACCAATATAGAACGTTCTACTTATCGGTTCCAAACTTGTACCAGTTGAGCAGTCTGGCCCTTTATCTAGACTGTACAGCTCCATTGGATCAATCTGGAATCCGTAATCTTGGAAATCTAAGACGCTTTCCAAACCCTTGCATGCTGTTACGAATCGCCCCAGCATGGGGTGATTTGTAACAGCCATGGGGCTTTTCATAACATCCTACACATTCAATGAAACATCGCCGGGAATGTTACCTCCTCCAGCAGTTGTTCTTCGGATGTCCTGCAGACGCCTTAAAATCTACATTTCAAGCTGCCGTTGACCGCCTCAGCATTTACTGACCGGCTATGTCAACCCTATCCTCACTTTTTTCAATTTTGGAGGAAAGAATAGAATAACTTCCTTTAAAATGCATTTTGAGCTGTTTAAATATATATTGGTATTAGGAAGCCACGTGGTTACATTGTACGGGGGTCACGGTACAAGGCCCCAACGGTACTTTGATGATGATTCATACCTGGGGAGCCTCAGACTGAAACTTCCTAGAACTCGAAATAAAAGATTTGCCTGTTTTCGGTGTACCCTATATTTCAGTATATTTCAGACGCCCTCCAAAACTATACCTGTGCACCGACCACATCCGCTTCGATTGTTCAAGGACCCTCTACTTGAATTGAAAGAAGGGCCATACTCACGTTTTCCTCTGCTCCCTTCACTCAAATTAATATACGCATTTGTTACGAATCGCCCCTGTTACAAATCGCCCCACATTCCCTTACCACTCTCAATTTCCCACATGCTGTGAGATCTGAGATGAAAGATGTCCCCCCAAACCTCATTTTTGAATACAATACTCGTTCTCTTCACATAAAGTTTTGTATGTTAGTGAGTGGTGTGTAAAGAACGAGTAAAAAACATTGTTAGAAAGGTTTCATAAAATGAAGATTTACACGAGTGAATGATTCTCACCAAGTCACCAGAGTGTGGTCAGCTTTTTCGATGATGAGTAACAAAGTGTCTCTTACAGGCGAGTCTATGTCTTTGACCAACACTGACAAAATGCCAATGAGCACTGCCCTGATGTCTTCCATCGACGCCTGTTTTGACAGCATTGGCTGGCTGTAACTAGAACTAAGTGCCTTGCACACCACCTCGAGCTGTTCCTTGGAATGTTTCGTGCTGCACAAGGTAGGTTTACGCCAGACCGCGTCTTGTCGTAACAGACTTCGCGATGTCTCGCGGCCTGTTACTCCAATCCGCGCCTTGCGTACCTACCTTGGCCTGCGGCGCTAGCCTGCCTTCGGCAGGCAATGGCTTGTCCACCGTCCGTTACTTCTTACTTGTTGCATGCTGGAACCCCCAGACCCCCCTTAATTCTAGAGTTGCTTCATCTACAGATAACACGATCTTGACCCTTGAAACTTTTTAACTTGTTGGGGCTGGGGGGCTCTGCCCTCCAGACCCCCTTTCTTTAAGACAGAAGTGATCTGCCTGCAGAAAACTTGATTTTTCGCCGTTTTAAGGTGTTTTTCGGCTGTAAAAACTGAACCAGT